ATCGAAATTCGAAATAATCTCTCCATTAGCATTGAAAAAATGAATCTTTTTTTGTATAAGGTAATAAAATTTGTAAATGTTTAGGATTGAGAGCACCGTAAAAAGTGAGTGAAAGTAAATATTGAAAAAATCCAGTGAGTGGTAGACGAAACAATTATGGTGGACGTGCCAAAAAGGGGAGCCGAGCCACCAACCATCTCTCGTGCCCTCGTGAAAAAGTGCGGAATTAAGATTAATCGCCGGGAAAGTCAGATAACTGGCGACAGTGTTTTTCTTTGCGAAGATTTACGAGTTGTCGAAACGATCACTGCGACAAATTAATTTTGAATTTCTACCCCCGTCGAGACGAAAATTAATTTGCAGCGATGATGGCACTAATTCGGAAAGGAACGGGGCTAATTTTCGATTAATCAAAAAAAAAGAGCGGCCTTTCAGTGTTGGATTTTCTCGCCTAAATTCCGGCACAATAATTTTCATAGAAAACCTAAAAATGAGTGAAAATAAAATTCAACTGTTTTTTGGCTGTTCTTTTAATGGGCTTGACACACTCCGGAACGAGCAACCTGCATGCGAAACAATACATCGGGGTGCGGTTCACATTTATCATCCAAAAACTATCCCTGATGAGGCTCGTGCACGCACAAACAACTGCGTGTGTCTGCCGGAAAAAGTCCGGGCCAAAAAACCAAATCGACCCCCCATACAAACCCTCTGACAAAATGGACATTAGCCCCAAAAAAAAGTTACCGAGGCAAAAAATCGGATGTGAAAGGCGGTGAGAGTGAGTTGTTTTGCATTCGAAACTAGTTTCGGAAGGGTGCTTTGTTTAGTGGCCGGTGTATCAGCTTTTTTGGGTAATGTGTGTTTCATAAACCTGATAAGATGTCCCAATGCGCGGTAGAAAAACTGTGATTTTTACACTTTTGGGTTTCGCAAACTAATTGAAACTTTCTTCCTGAAGCCCGAAAAATTCACCAGTTTCAAGCAAAGGCACGAAAGTCTAACCAACTCTCTTGAATAAGTATTTATTTAATTGAGAAAAAATGTTCGTGCTGTTGCTGCCGATCGAAAAAACCGAGTTTCAAACGATTTAGTGTAGGAAAAATATAGCGCTATAAATAACAAGTTGCAAATGGTAATTGGTCATGTGCAGCATTTGAAAATTCCTGATTTGTTAAATGACAAATTTCGTCGATTCCGTGCGGCTACAAATTGATACATTTTCTTGGCGTCCTGGAATGCAAAGTGGAAATACGCCTCGGAATGTTGTTTTCATTGCCAATCGTAATATAAGTAAACTGAACCACTTGAATGTTTAAGCTATAAAATAACTCTTTTTGTTGTTTCGCTGTCAATGGTTTTTTTGTCGGAGAAAGGGGCCATTTAATGTGCCAAAAATTCCAAGTTTCTATTAACTGTTTTTTTTTTCGTTTATTGTGAAGTTTAGTCGGGCGATTGAGTATCGCTTAAAAGCTTGTTTTTAAAAATTCAAACTGCAACGAAGAGAAGTTGCAAATGCAGATTTCGTTTTTTTAAGTATAAAAACACTTCTAAAAGTCAGACCTAAAGCGTAAGGGGACATCATAAACATTATACAGAAACACATGATCAGAAGGGCTCTCAGGCATTCTTTGGCTCAGAATAAGTTTTATTCAGAAAGAAATGTCGGGCTCGTCTGCTATTTTGGTAGTCAAACTTCTTCAAAAAAATTATGTTTTTGAAATATTCGGGGAATTTTAATAAATATCGCTCTCAATTTGTTCTTATGTAGGTAAAACCCAGATTTTTATGAGGCAACAGAGTTCATGCGCTTTGGGCAACTGAGAAATTCTTGAGTGTCTTTGTACAAAAGCTATCAAAACTTTTTATTTGATGACTGGAATCAACTGAATTTTTTTGAGTTGATGCACCAGTCCGTTTAAACATTTTTGGGCTCTTCGTAAAATCTTGTAGCATTCGTAGCTTTTGCGCAAAAACTGATTTCTGTTTCCTTCTTGTTTCACAATTTCAGACATTCACTGCAACCGTCCTGGTAAGCGATAATGTTCTCTTATAATAAATTTATTTGCAAGCGTTTTATAGTTTTTAACTGTGCGACAAGTCAAAGTTTTAGACCCCCGTCTTGTCTTTTGGAAGCGTTTTCGTCAGAATTGCGTTCGTCAGATATCGAAAAAATAAGCGAGTTTTTAGCAAAATATGGCCCTGACGTCGGTACACATACAAGATTTTACAAGAAACTGTTTTTTTTTTGAAGACCTGACCATCAAAAGCAGATGAGCCAGACATTTCAGAAATTTTCTTAATGAAACTTAGATCAGTTTTTGATTTTTTATCCAAAGAAAATTGCAGTACCCTGTTGATCATTTTATTACGGGTCATCCTGTATAACGGACTGATAATCGAAAATTCGAAAAGGTCAATTTTGCCATCATTGTAAAGAATGGATTGTTTTAAACAACGCAAATCCAATTTAATTTCACCGCTCAGTTGTTTCCAATCAATCTTTAACACTGTATTTATTTGCACGACTTTCCAAGTAGTCGGAGCATCAGGGTTTCGTAATATGAACAAATCATTCCTGTATATTTGGGCGAAAAAACCGTTGCGAAGAGTTGTTAAGCGAAAAAATTGCGTTACATACAATCCAGACAGGCAGGTAAATCAATGCATGTATGCAGCTTTTAAAGGCATTGATGTGTTAATTCATAAGCTTTGTCTGCGATTTGCAAGTATCATGAAGCATTTCGCATTGTTATGTACAGATACCGATAAAAATTCAAGGAGAATGTTTCATGCTTCACGTTGAATTATAATGGGCGTGTATAATGATGTTGAAAAAGGCACTGTTTTATGTTTACTCAAATGGGGCGAGGATTGTTTTTCGGTAAACCATGTAGATTTTTGTGAAAACAATTATCTCGCATTTCTGGCCAGTTCAACTGTGTATCAAATTTAATTGCTGTCGCTTTTTCCCTTTCAAACGTTAAACGCTTGTCTTTAATAACATTTTCATAGCTTTTTTTTATTAATATCAGGTCGTAAAAATGGTGTGTTTTAATTATGCATTTTATAGTATACCTTATCATTATAATATGGCGCTTTAAATTTATAGTTGGCAATTATAGTTTAAATTATTTACATGTGTATTAACATATTTGTAGGAAATTATTCATGAATTGCCTACAATAAATCACGTGTGTTCTTACAACGCATTCGCCGTGTTTTATGCATATGAATTTATATTTTTTTTCGAATGTTTTAAGTCGCCAATTGCAGCCGCAAAGTGTGTTTCTGAGTATAAATGCTAGTTTTTTGAAGGTGGATAATTACCAATCAAAGGCGCAAAGATAAATGGTAATTTTCCCCATGCCCCGACTATCCACAGGTGACAAATTAAACAATTTGCCGCGAATGAACGCGAGCGTATGAATGGCACTAATGTTGATGACGGTGCATTTTTCCGAAACGAGTGAAAATGGGGGATTGCGTCTAGTCGCCTCATTAATCACCGGCCTGTCAGTCGGGATTCGTGAGATGCAACAACACCCCTTGCATTGGGGTAGGCGAGGGTGGTAAACGCCGATCGATATCGCAGGGGGCTAATTACGCCGCTTGCGTCACCACTGGATAATCAAGGGTTACGCGATTATTGGTGATTTACCACTTTGATAGTGCAGTAAATGTTGCCGATGCAATAAATCATCCATATTTCCACTGTTAGTTGCTGCAATAATAACGCCGGACGGATCATCTGATATTGCTTGCTCTTGATCGTCTGTTGTTTTCGTTGATTATACGGGGTGATTCAAAATTGGTGTCATTCCTCTGGGGGTGTTTAGAGAGTACATGAAAAATAGTAAAGCAAGTAATTTTTATCGGACGCTGAGATATTTGCAAAAAGCTAGATCAGAAGGGCGGCAACAATGTTTGTCTAGGCAATCTTGCAAATGTGACAAATTGAGCGTGTCACTGTCATTATATCTTTCAAGGTATTTTCGTCACAAAGTATCCGACATGTGTTTTTTAATGAACTACGTAGGTTTATCGGCAACTATTGATCCTAGTTTAAAGTTTACGTGCAATTTGTAAGTTATAAGTTTCAAGTTCGGTCTCGAAAGTCGTTTTAATGGCCTATTTTTCCGATGTTGCCACACGCAAAACACGATTGTTTTAAATAGCGCAAATGTCACTCAAAATATGTAAGTTATCCAGTATCCAGATCCAGTAAAAGAAGCTGTTTGAAGGTGGGAAGTTGAAACCAACATTTGTGACTGATCGACTCTATTGAGACTGATTGATCTCTAACTTCTGGTGGTGTACAGGACATTGAATTTTCCAACATAGTTTCTCTTGCACGTATATATCAAAAGCACGCTTTTGAAAATTTACAACCGTCAAAAGGTGACATTTGAAAAATGGCATTGACATCGATTTCTTGGCTATTCGCGAGTTCAGCAACGCGCTGCAAAACGTCAAATTACTCGTTGTTGAGTGATAGTTGCTTGTCAGACTTGTTTATTTATTGGAGTTGATCGCATCTATAACATAAAACAATACTTACACACTTTTCGATCTGTTTCTATTTTTTTTTGATCTTGCAAAAGTTGATTAGAAGGAAGCAAAACAAATCACAACCACTAATGTGACACCAATGTCAACAAAACTAGTTTTAAAGTGTCAAATTACTAGTTAACGTTTAGCTATAATTTTAGCCACCAGGGGGCGTTTGGACTTTAAACTCGCGGAGTCTTCTGTATTATAACCTATTATTCGTGTTATGTCTTTTATTCGAATAAAAAATATTGGTCGATACGAGGGCAAAAATCTGTTATATGTTAATTACTCATGGTGGGAGCATTTGGAGGCTTAAGTTCAATGTTTTGTGGCCAAACTCTGCAATGGTCCAAGTTGATATTTTAATTTTAGACGTCTCTGAGCTGGATTTGTTCCTTGCACTTTGAGCCATTTTGTTCAAATTTAAAAATGTTGTTTTTTTTCAGATTGCAGCTTCAGATCTTGTCAAGGACCACCAAGCGGCCAACTCAACTATATCGGAACTGCCGCCAAAAAAACAGAAACTGGAAGAATATTTGGGCTCGATGGGCAGGGTGCCACCTTTTCCATTGCCCGTTGCAGCTGCTGCCATCATGCAACAACAGCTTTTCGCATTGGAGCCCGTCTATATTCATCGATGTTTGCAAGTATGTGATCAAATCGCTCTAGAATATACTGAAATGAACCTAAACTGCGAAACCTAACTAATTGAAAAAATCGCCAAAGACAAACATTAATCACATGGTGGTCTAATACCAGTTTAGAATTATTTTGAACCGCAACTTTGCAAGCGGATAGACCGAAAACGAAGCCAAATAGGAAAGGAAAAGCCAGAAAACGAAACAACCGCCTTTTTTATTTATTGCATTCGTCCGACTCGAACAAATGCGCGCTTACCTTAAAGGAGATAAAGAGATGATAAGCACGCATTTATTTGCATCGAACGAACGAAACTGATATATTTTTTCTAACTTGGACGAATGAAAAATCCCTAAAGATGCGCCCGATACAGGGTGTCCTCTCATTTAAAATAGCGCAAATATTGGTTTTTCTTTGTTTCGTTCATACGATGAAAAAATGCGTGCTTACCTTCTCTTCGCCATTTTTAAATCAACCGCGCGTTTGCTCGGATCCGACGCACGCAACGAATAAAAATAACGCAAATATTAATTTTTGTTCGTCCCGTTCGCCCGAAGTCAAAAATGCGTTCTTACGTTGTCTACATCTTCTTTAATGTCGCGTCCAGACCTGATCCGCGGCAAATTCCTTGGAAATTTCGTCAAAACACGGACAGAAAAATCGATCGCCTGCCGGTGTTTTGACGAAACAATTAGAGTACCTACTAGTAGACAGTTAGAAACTATATTAATTTTTAGGAATTCAATGCACGAAGTCATCGAAGCGCTTTCAAGCCCGTTTCGCAAAGCATTCGGGAACAGAAGCTGCGAAGTGCGAATGCTTTGGAGATGGCAGCCCGATGTGCCGCAGATCCGCCCCTGTTACAGAACCCGGAAAAGGTGGTACTTATGTCCGAATCTGAACGGTAAAAGCGTGTTAGCATGGTCGAAAATGTTGGCAATAATGATATTTTTTCTTCGCTTAGATTTGAACGAAGTTACCAGCCGAATGTAGCGCTGGCGCCTCCTGTGCCTAAAAAGCACAGATATGGCAGGGCGCATCTACATTCGACCAGTGAAATTATCCAGCAGTGTTCTTCAAGTACTTCCACAGGGCAGGACCAGGTTCTTCCAGCGATTAAATCTGAACCCATCGCTCAATCACCCTTGACGAACGGCCACGCTATTAAAGTAAGCCACTGACCAACTCAAGCTAACTGGGACTAGGTATATTTTTTTATCTCAGGAAGAAGTTGAAGAGGTTTGCAATCCCCAACTAGTAACAGCGGCAACAACAATAGCAGGAAAAGTCGATGCGACAGTCTCGGTTCTTCAAGCAAATAATTCCGTTCGAGTTCCGCCGAAATACAATCCGGAAATCGAACTCTCGACGGACACTGAAGATAGTGCTTCGGAAACATCGGAAAAAAACAACTTGGATTACATCAAACTGGAAGAGGTTCTAAAAAGTGTCGATAGTGAGGATGTTCGCGAGAAGATTTTAGAACTTTTTAAAAATATGTCCAAGGAACGGGAGCGAGCCATCTTGGACAGTCGCTGCAAAGATCAGGAGCGAATTATTGAGCTGGAACAGAAAAACGAGCATCTGGAGCGCGAAATGTCCACTCTCAGAGAGCAGTTGGACGATCTCATAAGTCCTGCCGATAGCAATAACACGCCAATTAGAGGTAATTTGATCAAAGACTCCAGTAACGACGTAGTAACTAGTTCTTCCATAATCATCCACTCGCCCTTGGTCCAAGAAAGGGGCGTGTCACCTCTATCGCCTACAGTTCAGCATCAGAAAAGTGTGATTGCCAGTGTTGCCAGTGTAGCTAATAGTGTTCCGAACAGTGTCACCAGTAATAGAGAAGTGGACGTTATCACAAACACGACACCGGAATGATCCGTTATTGTGATGCACTCGTGCAGGGTCACTTTTGCTTAACTTTCGCTTTTTGTTGATGGCAAATTGTTAGTAATTGGGGTGGAAGTTTGACAAAAAATGTTTCATTTGAAACTGGACTAAGATGGGAAGCAACACCATAATTGAATAATCATCTCCTATTGACTGAATATTTAATAGTGAACAATTCTCCAATTACCCATTTCAACCTTCCACATTGGGGCCCTTGTTGTAAATAGTTGTCGAACAAAAATCCATATTTTAGATCTTTTATTTTTAGATCACGAGAGGAACTTTAAAGAGTCAATTAGAGCGTTTTTATTTAAGGTACGTAAAAAGACATTCTGTATATTGATAGGCATTGTACAAATACCAGGTTTTACTATCGTTTAAACGTAGTCCTTGTAAATATTGCGTAACACGTTTAGGTGGAAGAAAGTTTTTTCGAAGATACAGGTGCGGGTTTGTAGACACGTATTTCAAAGGTTGTGCACTTGAATTGATCGACCCTTTCGATGTTTGCTTACATCAGTAAAGGAAATAATCATTTAGGACGGTTTTCACAATAAACAAACTAATTATCAAAACTAAGTTTACAGTGAATACCGAAGTTTAATTCGGTTAGCGACAAGTAAAACACAAACCAAGTTTTACGTTTTGGTGGAACCCGTTTAAGAGGTTAAACCACGTTTAAGATCTAAAGATGCCTGTGATGAAATCGACCTCAGTGTCGTACCCGAAGAGCTCGGCACAACACACGCACGACACTGATGTTGATGTAAAAAACTCGTTCAAAATCACTGGAAAACTATCGTTAACTACAGTGTTCTCTATTCCAATTCCAAAGGATTACAATGAAGAACACCAGAAACACAGTTTTACACCAGAAAAGTGGCAATCAATTCAAGGCATCCTACAAATTCGATTTGTCCGAGTCTGTTTTGAAAAATTCGCTTTTTGTACAAACGCATGAGTAAATCCTGAGAAAGTCGTTTTAGAATATAAAAATGTAGTTGTTAGTTTTTACCAAATTTGGAATGACGTTGTTCTTGTTGTTGAAGTTATTTTCGACTTTGAAAGTTGGTTAACGACTGGGTTTCAATCTCTGTGAATGCACAATGCACTGAAATAGATTATCGTTTTATTTATGATGATCACAAACCACTGGCGGGAAACAAGGCACACTTTTTTTAGGTTTTCTTCTTAATGATAATTTGAAAACGTCTTGGCCTAAAAACCATCTTACTCCTTTTTCTCGATTGTTTAACAAAAAATGCTTCTAAGATCATTCATTCATTATGCAGTTGCAGAGATAAGGCAAAAGGGAAACTTGTTAGAATTTTATCTATATTACGATTTAAAGTACAAAATATGGTGCAAACCATCTCCCAGTATATTACCTTTTATCGATGCGTGAGTGAGCAATTTGCGTGATTGCAATAATAACGTGGCAAGGACTTTTAACGGAAACCATCCTCAGTTCAGTTTAACTAATTTTAACACTTAATTATGCGTTAAAAGTCCCTTCTTCGAGCTTGCCATTGTATTTTAAAATGTTGACCAATGATTCGGGGACAAGAATGCATTCTCAGGAATATTTAAGAAGACAAATTATAACAATCAATTCGTATACTTACCGTATAAATTATAGAGTTGCGTACGCGCATATCAAAGTATATTAGAAATGCAATGGCAAATTGAGTGGAGGTAAGCGAAGATCCATACGTGTAGAATTAATTAAAGCTAGCCTTATTCGACATTCAGTATTGTGCAACAAACAGTTAATAATATTTAAAAAATATGTATTATTTTAACCAGGGCTACACCAGTTCTCCGTGCAACTAATGTTTATTCAAAGTCGACCTTTTCGGAAAATGGACTTGTTTACTTTCAACTTTCTCCCCCTCAGTGTGAATGCTGTTTTTTGGAATACATATTTTCGTACCAACACTAAATTTTTTATTTCAATTATTCACCGCACTGTATCAGCAAAAATATGTTGATGAAACTACTCACGAGGATAATGGCATAATAAATAATTTTTCTTTATGTTCAATTTCCACACGTAGTTCATCAGTATATTTGTTTATTGGATGCCCAATATATATCATATTTAATTTGTTTAAGAATGTTGTGATATATAGCTTTCAAGTTTTACCTTCAGGTTTACAGTATTTAACGTAATTTAAGTTTTATGACTTGGCAGCTTCAGTTGCCATCATCCCCGATGCGAATTGTGATAGTGTAACCGATTGAGAAAAAAGTAAATTCAAAATTGTTCCTAATAATAATAAAAATTTGACTGCCATTTTTTGAATTTGTAGCAATATAGGAATTTATCGGTTGCATTCACACTTCCATTTCATGACTTTTTCTCATTACGGCACGCAATCCCAGTGTATTTTATTAGAATTTAGAACTATTTCGGATGATCATTAATCGTTTTCGAGAATTGTTAAATTTGTTATTAAATTATATATTTTGTGATCTCAAAATATGTAAGAATGCTGTTACTTGTAGTTATATTCATTATAAATAAGTTTGTGTGTGTTATATACATAGCTATATTATTACAAATAATATACACAAATTATTACGTAAATATATATTTCTGAACTTTATGTGTCAAACCAATAAAACGCATTAATTTATACAATGGGGTTTTAATGTCTGTGTAGAGTTGAGTCAATAGGAATATTTTAATTTATTATATAATTTTAATTGAATTTCGCTGAGCCTCAAAGAATAGCACCAGAAAAATAAAACCCGCACTGTCGATTGGAACATTTCAACTCTACTTATGTAAAACACATATTGAAACGCTCACTACAGACCTAAACTGATGTCGCCCTAAAACGTCCTAAATATTCCTTGTTTTGTATAACATTATCATCTAATAGTCAACAATAAAATGTTAAGTAACTGGACTTAAAAAGTATGCATCCATTTGATTTGCTAGATCACAAACGAGATTACAACGTATTGCTTAAGCCTCATTCGTTGTCGTATTTACAAGGCGATACCTAAGAAAAATTGAATTTATCCTACATGTATGTATACTTCGAATTGCCAACGAATTTGAGCAAAAAATCTTACTTGGGTAAACCGACTAAACTAAAAAACACCTAAAAATGATCGACTTTAACAGCAACACTGTTTGCAGCATGATTGCTGGGCAATAAAATATTGTCCCAATCAGTGCGAATATCTTGTTCGGAGTCGGTCGCTTTTAGCGTGATGCCCAAGCTGGGCAAAGTGTTAGCGTAGTGTGGAATATTCAAAATCACAGGCTTTAGAAATTCGGTACCTGAAAACGACAAAGAACAAAAAATATTGATGCCTTTACCTAATATTCTTAACTATAAATAAACAAAACTGCATTTCTAGATGTTTACAATAGCAGCGCTAAGCACTTACCTTGTGGTCCACACATTACTAACGGCGACAGCATTGTTTCACCTGAAAAAACCGGATCCCGATTAATATTTTAGAAAATCGCGAAAATCAGAAAGCTAATTACAAAATCTGTATGTACACTGGCTATATTACAGTGATTTTCTCAGTCCAACTGAAGAGAGAGCCGTTTAAAATGTACAGCAGTTGAGTAGTTGCAATTACATTTTACCAAAGAGGGTTGAAACAAATGCACTTTTTAATTAATCGTCAATATTAGTATTAGCAATCATGGAAAAGTGCCCCTAAACCCCAACTACCATGCAAGATTTACCATTCTCCAGGTCCAATGGTGGACCGTTATCGCACAATCTCGGATCGGAAATAACAAAGTAAATTTGTTTCTCTTCCCCATGGCTAATTGCGCCTTCGGGCACTTCAAGAGAGACGCCCCAGTAGTGATTCACCAGGGTCCCGCCCCTGTGATCCACATAGCCAGATGTGATATCACGCTTAGTGGGCCTTGAAAAATCCTGCGCGTTCTTGTTAAAATCCTTGATCACCTAATGCAGTTCTTGTGTTAAGGTTGCCTAGAAGCTGGTCTGGGCAAGCATCAACTATCCATTGTTTAAGTAACCCGCACGTGATAGTAAAGCAAACGAAGAGTTGATACTTTGACCTCCTTTTACCTGGTTCTCAGTGATGCTGTCCGGTTGCAATGTTAACTTCTTGGACATTTTCGGCGTTCCGTCTTTGTGCTTCCGTCCAAACGACCACTTTCTGAACAGTCGTGGCGTACTAAAAGCGCTGCCACCATCATTTTTCGCATGTTTAAACGATTGCGCTTTAGTTAGTTTAGGCTTGATTTTTGGCGAGTTAGTAGCCGACGATGAGTTTAGTTTTTGCACTATGTTAGGCTGCGATCCATAAAAAGCCGGTTGCCGCTCTTCTACGCCCCTGAATGATAAAAAGAGATGACGTTCAGTTGGGTTAGTTGATGGCATGGATACTCGACGGGCTGCGGTACCCAGGAGACTAAGCGCATCTCTTTTTATCAGCCGAAGAGTTAGCAAAAACACTAGTTAAACAGTCTAACGCTTATCGTTCAAATTTTTGCCAAACAACTTGCATTGCCTAAGTGAGTCTAGAACACTCTGGTGAAACTATGTCTCCTAGGTACGCTCCTAATTACACATTTTCGAGGTTTGGTTAGATCCAAAACCAAAGCCAACAATCCACCACCATGCTCACTTGCCATATGGGGGCAAAAAAATTATGGAAACTATTGAGTTTTTCGGACTTTTGGGCATGTCTCAAAAGCCCGAAAAACCCACCAGCTTCAACGACGCACAAAAAATGCTACAGTCCAAACATCAACAACAACAATCACACATTTTCCTAATTAGGAGCTTAATTCAAAACACTTGTGTGTGACAACACTTTAAAGTTAATGGATTAGAGCAAACAACCAAGTGAAAAAACAACTCAAACGAAGCACGCCAACAACATACCTAAACTAAAAGTCCAACAAATAGACCACCCTACGGGACAAAAAAACATTTTACAATACAAATTACAGCAAATAGCCAGTGTACAAACTCGAATATAGAATGCTGGTAAAGACAAGATGCTGAACCGCCCATGCCACATCAAAGTACGATAAAAAATGAAGTAGAAGCTCAATCTACGCACCTTTAAGAGGTTGTGGCAATTTTAAACTCACCTTAAATTATGCCCTACGGGTTTTCTGTAAAGCTCAAAGGCAGAGCCACGTTGCTCCCGCGAACCTTGCAAATCGACAACGGGGGGCGGCCGATGGTCGCCCATCATTGCCGAAGGTTCCATGTGATGGTCGCCCATGGGAGGGCCATAGTCCTGGTTCGCGATTGGTTGAATCTCGCTGCGACTTGCGTAAGAAATGCTGGGATGGCGACGAGGCGATTCGTGGTAGGGCGGCGCCATGTCGTAGTGCCCGCCCATTGAATGCTGTCGATCCGGATAGTAGGGAGAAGCATGCTGGGACATTGCTTGGGAGTGAGGAGGCGGCGAGTTGTAGTAGTAGTTGTGAGGGTTTTGGTTGCTGCGAGGATCCTGGAAATGGAAAATGCCAAGGTTTCGTTCCAAATGCTTCACTCACAAGTTTTAAAACCCCAACTCACAACAGGATTACTGTGGCTTTTGCCATGTTGGTACACGGGCCCCGCTTGCATCATCGCATCGCCCCGCCCATAGTTCTGGTTGTGAGGAGGTCGATAGTTTTTCGGCTTGGGGGGCGGAATGGGCTTGTATTGGTTTCCGTTCATGGCGTTCGCATTATGGCTGGATGGACCCACATCGTATCTGCAATTTTCACAAAACCCTCCAGGAAACGTTCGTTGGTGAGCGGCCTGCTGACTTACCCATTCATGTTAGATGGCGGACTTCTCAGTGGGGAGTGTTGATGAATTCCCACTTGCGAATCACGCAGGTCTTGATGGGAGGCGCGCGTGTATTCAGGCGGGGCTTGATGTGAAGGAGGCATATTTGCGTTATTATTCCGACTAAATCAGAAAAAAACATATGAATAGCTGGGGCTCTGCACTGTGTTCCAAATGAGACGCCCCAGTATGGGGTAGGCCTGGGTGACGCTGTGTTTGTAACTCATCGGTTAATCAGTTATAAGTTAAAGCTTTACGAGACCCGAGACTCGAATTTGTCCATCTAACAAGAAAGTCATAAACATTTTTTCTGAGTAACGTTGTACTACTTTGATCAAACAGAAGTTAGTCCAAAGAAAGTGGACGAGTTTTCTTGTAAAATCGAATTCTTCATTTTTTTGGCATAAAAGATTCAGTTTGTCAGTATTTTACAGTAAAACGTTGAGAAAAACCCGGTTTTTCTGTTTAGAAACAGTGCTGTTTGGAAATATTGACCTAAAAGTGAAGAAACTCCAATTTGCAAGAGTTTTCCAAGTAAATGATTATAAACTTTCGTTTTTTCAGTTGGGGGAAATAATTTTGGAAAAGACCCAGAATTAATTATTAGGGTTTTGTCCACAATTGGAAGCTGCAAAAAGTGTTCCAAAAGTGTTTGCAGAGCGGTTAAGGAGGCGAGTGTTCCAATAAAACCTATCTTATAATTTTTCACAGAAAAACCTGAATATTGTTAGTATTTTAACTAAATAACAATGCGATTTTTGCGTAGAAAGAATTGTTTAACAGAAACTTTGTTAAAACTAGAAGGCCTGAAGATTTAAAGAAACTTTAAATATCTTCAGAGCGATGTGGCCGGCGAATTTTTTGTAAACTTTTGCTTCCTGGCCGTTTTCCAAGATAATCTTAATTACTTTCGGTAAAAAACTGAATAAAATGATTTGGTTTCTGTAAAAAATTTGAAGCTGAAATGGGTTTTCCAAAGTTCCCTGCAAACCCATGAATGAGGCGAATTTTCTAGAAAAATTAATTTTGTAATTTTGGCTGAAAACACCCCATTATTGTCAAAAAAGAAGAGAATCATCAGGAAATAATGCTTTTTTTGCTTTTTCCATTAAAAACTTTTAGTTTTGTGATCGTTTTTTTCGAGCAAAAACGGGAGGAATTTATTTTCGTTTTTGTCTCGAATTCGAAGCTGAAAAAGTTTTTGAAAAATGTTTACAAAGCTATAAAATCATCTTGAAATTTTTGGTGTAAACGACCTCCAGATCGTCAGTATTTTTAAGTGAAACTACAAAATAGAGCGTTTTTGAGTAGAAAGTAAAGCAAGAAAAATCAGTCAAACCTAAAAAAAAACACGTTTTTTTAACAAACTCTGACAAAGCGACCACGGATTCGAAATTTATTTCATCATTTTTAACGGAAAATACTAATAAAAGTTTGGCAACTGGAAACTTTAGAAAATTGAGCATTTAGAAGAAAGAGTAACTTGGCTAAAACTGGAAAGGTCTGAAATTTTAAAAATATTATTAATAAATGACCCTTAAACACACTGGTCATCAACATTTTCCCAGCAACGGAACTGAGTTACTGCGCCGGTCCGTTGGGTTGGCGCAGCAAGCCATTTGCGTAGCATTGCGCTGCAACTCTTAAAAATTCACTGAGTTACCCAGGCCTAGTATGGGGACATCAAAAAGAATAAAAGTTGGTTAAATCGGGACGAATTACGTTTAGTCCCGTATTACGGTCTTCTATTGGACACAGTGTTTTACCTGTATTTGCCGTAGTCAGTCTTTGTCTCTACATGAGTTTTACTCGGAATATTTTGTTTGGCGGGCGATCTGGAATATCTGAAAGCAACCACAAGTGTTTCACATTGCGAATATCAACAAAGCTTCCTTCAAAAACCTCGAAGGCTGCTTTTTACCTACCGGTACATGTCCCTCTCCACTGAACCTCGAGGGCTGACGCCTTCGCTCGGCCCCCCATTCTCCTCCCTAGATCCCCCAATCACTTCTCTGGAATGTCTGGGACTGTTGTCGTTTATCGGGTCCCCGGGTGGCAGTCCGTACTTTAAGTCCATTTTGGACCCCCCTAGTCTATTGACCAAGCAAAAGCCAGCGTAAATCCTTTACAATCCTCCCTTCTACCAACTTACCGATGATGATTTTGTTGGTCCGTCCATCTAGGCGCTCTGGACGGACTGCTTTGATGCGAAGGGTCGATTTTCGACAGGGTAGTTTTGAGATCGTCATGCAGGTTTGGCCCTATTCTAGGTGTGGTGGGCGGTTGCTTGTTGTACGAATCATAACTTGAAAGGGAGTCCTAACAAAACACTTTTAGCTCTGCAGGTCTAACGGTTGTGCGCCTTACCGATTTCGAATTTTGGCGCTCCAGTGAGCCAGCTTTGTTGTCACTAAACCCTCCGTTTTCGGCTCCTTCTGTTCCAGCCGGCTTCGTTCCAAATAACCTTTCATGGGCACTTCGCCCATTTGGTATTTTACCTGCAAACGCTCGCATGATCACAATTTGTTAGTAGAAAATCAAGAATGAACTTACTTGGAGTGGTAAGAAGCCCCATAGGTTTAGCTGCTCTGTCTACTCGTGGTGGTAAGTCAGGCGCTTGCCCGTAAATGCCCTCCTTAGTCGTGGGCGAGTTTGGAACGGACTGCTCCGCATTCAAGCTATGGGCCTTGGAGTGATTGTATGGAGCATGCATACCACTGGGTTGCCTACAAAAGTTAGTTATCCAGCCCCTTATTATAGGCCTTATCAGGAGGTACCTTTTGTGCTGCAGTCTATCTCCGTTAAACTCCCTCCTATCCGGGCTGCCGTAATCCCGGCTTCGATCAGGACTGGAAAACTCTCCTGCCTTATACTCGCTGGACTTGTAAATGTTTGCCGCATAGATGTCCGATTTGCCAAATTCTGGGGCGTTTAGCGACGAGGGAATATCGGGGTCTGAAAGCGTGTAAGACGGATCCTTGGTAAGCGGCGACTCTGGCGGCACTTCCGAAGACACCTGTTGATTGCTCCCATTGCTAAACCCATACCGCGTATCGTAAGTGGGCTGAAAACCATTCGAGTCAACACCAACAGCTCGCCAATATCTACAGCTAAACGCTTACCTGGTAAGGGGGCAACGCGTCGCTGGCAGTGCTTTCCAGCGGCATCACAACGCTCGGATCCGAACTGGCTTTGGTAAGTCGTCCAGGAGTCGGTCCCGGACCACTTCCCGGAGGAGAGGTTGGTGGTCCCGGACTGTGCTCCAGGTCGCTTTCGGGCGAACTAGCGTATGAAAGCCGAAGAGATGACATGGGGAAGAGGAAATCGTCGGAAAGCGATTCTTCGGGCTACAAGAAATGAAGATGACAATGGGCACATAAACATGCAGCGTTAACATCTATGAAAATGCCAAGCGGAATGATTAAAGGTAAGTACAGGGTTATTGTTTGAACTTTGGTCACCCCGTTTTTGCCTCTAGTTTGAAATTTAGAGAAAAATGTTAAATATAAAAGTTGTCGATACTGACGTCTAGTTTATTTTAAGATAATACCAATTGATGCAGGGTGTCGCAAATTCAAGTTGCACACCTCAAAAATTTGACATCACAAAATTTCGAATTTTTTCCCAACATTTTGCATGATTTTGGAAAGTTGTCAATGGCTCGCTTGATCGTGGCAAAAACATGAATACCAACTTTTTTAGGAAGCTTCAGACGGCTGATTGATTGGGTCGAGTTTTTGCAAACCATATTTAAACCATAAAACTATGGAAGCTGGAAATTTACAAAAAATACCCTCGGATGAGCCAGATATTTTATAAAGAATAACTTTTTCCGACAGGAAGCTTTGTTTTAGAGAAAAAAAAAGTAAAATATCCAAAAAATCGCAAGCATATCCACCTATATACTTTTTGACTTTAGACTTTGGACGATTGAAAAAAAAATCCTTTATGAGCTATAAGGGAAAGACGAAGTTTGCGCCGTCCCTTACCAAAATTCCTTTTCAAAATTGAATAAAATTGTCAAATGACATTAAAATTGGTGAAAATTGATACCAATTAGCATTGAGACAAATACGAATCAGCTCCATCTCAAATCGATTAAAGTGGAAGGAAAAAACTCTATTTACTCCATTGTAATTGGTAAATTATGGTACCGATCAACTGAAATGCTTCGCAAAAATCAGAAAATGATGATGAATGGATTCTAGTTAGAGCGAAACATAGCTAATAGATGTGGTTAATGATTTTTGAATGCCATAATGAGAAACTAACAGTTTCCGATTTTTTCCAGAGCTAATCGAAAAAATGTTCGAAAATTTTCGACTTGTCCATGTTTTTATGTAAACAAAAATTTCGGAAAGTTCAATGAATTATTCCACTGAGATGGCGATGACATGGGTCGATAGAGGGATAACGAAACTTAAAAATTAAATGATTCAATTCAATCAATTCGATTGTAATCATATAAAACGTTGAGCTTGAAAGTTCGAGTAAGAATTGGAATTGAAATATTTCAGCAAATTTGCAATTTAATGATTTTTTATACATTTGACAAGCTCAATTTTTGATACTCAAAATCTACTTCCAATTCTTACTAGAATTTCGCTTGTATTTGAGACACCCTGTATCAACTAGTACCATCCTAAAATAAACTACAGGTTAATATCTACAACTTTTGCATTTAACATGTTTCTCTAGACTTCAAATTAGATGTTGAAACAGGGTGGCCAAGGTTGAATCAATAACCCTGTACTTCTAGATTGTTATACAAAAGGGCAAAGTATGAGCTGTAGTAGAACTGAGTGTTGTCGTGCCTTGTGTTTGAATTTTGCTTGAATTTACGGCGGTTTTGGTCGGCTCTGCCCACACTAGAGATGTTGAATCTCGTTACCTTAGAGCATAAATATAACAATACTTTTTCAACACCTCTAGATCCCACTGAGTCAACCATTCTAAGCGATTTTTTGGCAATATTGACAAAATGCCCAGGTAGAGCAGAGAAATGTCCCATTTTACGCCGTAGAATGCAGCTAGAATATTGTATCCTGTACAAAAATAAACGCTAAACTTTTACTCTTAAAATGTTCTACTCAAATCTCCCCATACGTCTCCTCCCAAATGGGCAACAGCTTGTTGCTAAACCCCTTAACATCATTGCATTCGTGATAAATCGGTTCTGGAGTGTTGAAAGTGGTTTGCATGCAACTAGCGTTGGATTCATCCGAAATGCGTTTTTTACGAACGAAAGCCAAACTATGGTTATTATCAAAACACTCGCTGTTGTTATTTAGTGCCAAACCAATTGGAGTACTTGCATAATTATTATTTTGCTCAGTTTCATACGTCAATGTATTGCGATTGGATGCATCCGGAGTAAAAGTATCGAATCTGGTGGATTCTTCAGACGCACGGTCTGGAATATAAACTGAACATTCCCTAGAAACAGTAGGGGCGCAATCGCTGGGAATGTTCCAAGAATCTTCCCGGTAGAATGAACATTCACGACACATACTAGGCGAGTGATCGGATCCGGGAACGTAGGGGTTTAAAAATGGGGATGTTCGATGAATGAACTGAGGGGAACTGTACATTGACAATGGAGTTTTCCGGGTTCGAGGACGAGACTGTCGGTTGCGTCCCGGTAGGGAATTAGTGGATTTGGGCTGGAGAAAAATCGCAGGAAAGTATATGTCGGAAAAGAAGCCAGAAGCCTGAAAATAAACGTTTTGTTACTATCCTGAGCCCACCACCAAGTTATCGGTGCATTATTTAGCCCCTCATCCAATAGATTGAAGTTATCAAAAGAGATAGACTTTCGAGGCCATTTCTTGAAACGAATGGTATCTTTTTCGGGTTTTTAGACCGTCGTTCGGTAGAATTTCTCCTTGACGTTTGCTTGAACGCTTACACTGTTCTCATCAGAACCCGCGTTCAGTTCTTCCGCAGAACTGAACTGACGAAGAAATTCTACCGAACGACGGCTTAAAAACCCGAAAAACCCTTTAGTTTTCAGTTTGAAGTTAGTTCAACAGAACGGATAAATAAATACCTTGCTCTCGGACATCCACAAGGCGCCACTCTGCTGTTTATCGATCACCTCCCTCACTTTTCTATACCAAGTGTCTGTATTATCCGTCAACGTGATGGTGGAGTTAAATATGTGACCCCAGACTTTGTCCAGCTTCTGGCACTGTTCCAGCAGCTTCTTCGAGCTCTTGTGAGCCGTCCTTTAAACATCCACAATTAACTCGCCTGCACGAGCTAAACCCGCGCAACTTACTTTGGTAGTCCTTGCCGCAGTTGCTTAATAACCATTTTCGTCTCCGATTTGAAGAACACCACAATCGGATACATTTGAGCGTAATTCAGGCGTTCCACTGCATTTGGTGTTATGTCGAGTAGAGCGTGTTTTCCAGTGGAAATAACATCGCGAATGGCCGACAGTCGTATAATATTGGAAGCTGTCTTTTGGGATTTGGAGGTTTCTTCGACGGTTGCATCTAATTCTGCCCAAAAAAATGGGCAGCTCAAAAACTGGTTGGAGAAGGGAAGTCCGATGACTTACGTGGCGATATAAACTTGTCCGGAAAATCCTTGAGCAGTTTTTCGCGCGCAATGTCCGCAATGGGTCCGAAGAGAATAACCGGTCTAGTGAAGCCTGGATGTTTCAGCAAAACCCTTTCGTATGCTGGGAACTTTGATATGGTGTCGGAAAATAGGATATCGTCCCAATGTTCCTTGCCCAGGCTGCAAATAACATAAACTTCCAACTCCTCCATTGCCCCATTACAATTCCCCACCTTTTCGACCGCCTATTAGAGCTTCGCCTGCGCTTGAAGAAGCTACCCCTTGATTCATTAGCGGACATCTCCTTTTTCGTTGCATTAAATTGGGCGGTCGCCAGCTCTTCCGCTCGGGCCTTATTAGGAATTATGCCCTTTTGCACTTCCTGGTTGTTTCGACCTGCATTCATCGCAATTAGAAAAAACATTTTTTAAACGCTTAAAACTACCTATCCTGAAGACCTGCCAGCATCCAACCACCCCATTGTACAAAGTGTCGATGACGTGGAAAATATCTCCGGATCGGAAGGACATTTCTCCTTTGGCCGGATTGTCGTAGTGGAAGTGGGTTTTGATGTAGAAGCTATCGCCCTTTTGGGACGCTGAAAACACCTCAATCTCATCTGGACCGAGGGATTCTAAATCGCCACTTACCCACTATGCTGTCATATTCTTCCTTACAAAACTGCACTATCAGTTCGATTCTATCCTGCAAACTCAGCAAGTAAAGGACGGCCTCTTCTCTCGTTACCCCGGTCATGTCCATATCGTTCACCTGAAAGTATCGTCATTTGAGCACAGTCTGGCTGAAATTACGAGCAAATTGAGCAGTTTGCATCTACCTTGAGGATTTTATCTCCAGGTTGCAGGCCTTGCAGTGAAGCAGGGCTTCCAGGTTGGACGGCCGTGACGAAGATGCCGGCATGATTTCCCCCAGTCAATCGTATGCCCACTGAGCCGTCTTTGTGGAACGTGATGAATCTTGCATCGGGTCTAAAAATTCAAAAAAATGGGCGTTTGAGTAAGAGTATTTTGAAGCCCGCCCATAACTTACATTGGCTGCTTTGCCTTCTGTATTATCGGATCCTCTTCATACAGTTGCCTCCGTGAGCTATAGTAATCTAAACAATAACCAATTAAATTTGCTATCGTTTCAGCAGAAAATCCTCAAATATCTACCTTCTACTCTAGGTGGAGGAGGCCGAGGAGGTTCCTCCCTCCCTCCTTTGGACCTTCCATATCCAGCTATGCTGTTTCTGTTGTCCAGTTGGTTGAGATTTGCCTCAGACAAAGGCCCCCTCGATCGCCCTCTGGGAGCTAAATTGGACTTTTCGTCGTTTAAAGAATTGGGGCCACTAGCTGAAATTTATTTCAAATAACCTTTCGGGCCCAGCAAATCGAAAAAAAACCCTTTACCTAACATGGGATCGGCCTTTTCGTCGAAAGATGACCCGTTCTGGTTGAGGTTTGGGTTACGAGTGGGTGGTTGCACGTATAGGTTCTGGTTGGAATAGCTCTGACTCGATGATGTTAGAAAATCGTTGCCTGAAACAGCAGGAGTGAAGGACCGTCTGATGCAGAACCCAGGGATATGAATACCTTTATAGAAGTTATTAACCGCTCCAGTAGTGCTTACAGAGCTTTGAGCTTGATGGAAGGGAGTGGGAGGTCCAGCAAAGTCCCTGGCAACAGTGATATGCAACTTATCCTTGCAGCTGTCGATGATCTTCTTCGCCTCTTTCAAAGACATCACATCGTTGCAGTTGGCGTTGTTGATTTTAGTCACAAAACTCCCCACGTCTAACGACTGATTGGTGTTGAGGAGCTGGTCTCGGGTTTTCGACGAAATTTCCTTGATGAACAGCTTGCATCCTAACACGATGCCAAAATCTGGAACAGTGGATTAGCGCCATTTCCTCACGGTCAATTAAAAGATGTGCCACCTTCTTTTTTTGAGGATTTCGTTATGGTGACTTTACTGGGAGGCGGCGGGCTGACTCCCAAAGCAGCAAGAGGCGGAGGCCCGCTGTAGGACGCGCTGTGTCCATGAGAGAGCTGAAGAGTTCGTCTCTTGATCACCAGCGTTACGGTATCACCGCTGTCTCTTAACACTTGCACTGCAGTGGCGTAGTCCACATTTTGCAGCGAGATTCCGTTCACTGAAATGATGCGGTCGTTCACTCTGGAAAAATGCTTTTTTCGTTAGTTTGCTCGCTTTTTCTAGTGGGGTGTTTTGTTACTGTAATAATCGCTCAGCTGGACCAGCAGCTAAAACGTCGCTAACTGCAATACTGGGATCGCCCGAGGCAAAGTGAGGATTGTCTCGCCCTCCAGACACAGCAATTCCGAATCCAAATCCTGGCACTCGCGTTACACATATTTGTTTGTATTCCCAGCCTCGCTCCTGAAACAAAAAAAAATGCATGCTTTCTCCGAGAAGTTTCAGATCCGAAACAAGACATTTTCGGCACATTTTAAGCGTTTTTTGAGGGTTCACGTTCTTTAACCGACAATTTCTTCCCCATCATTGATCTAAACGCTTTATAAATGCACATTTGTGACCTTCTTACGTCGAAAGGAATCGATTGAGCTCAGAAAACACGCATGTGAAATTTTGATTTTTGGTCGACGTTTTACCAAGGGTGGATTTTTTGGAAAAATTGAAATTTTTTCAAAATGTCTTAAATTTTACATCATTTTCAGCTCAAGGACGCGAGCAATGCACCGAACTCATTGAAAAACATGCTAGAAGTTTCTTTTTCTTCTTTTGAGCGTTCAAGATCTTCAACCGACGATTTCTTCCTTAGGATTAAAAACAGACGGCTGAAAGTGAAAATGTTGAATGCCAAAGAAGACGTTTAAAAACCACGTGCTTCAGAAACCGGGCGACCATTATAATAAAGAAAAAAGCCAGTCGTGCCGCTTCCAGTTTCGACCTTGATTTCTTTCTTCAATTCGCAATTTCTGCATCTTCGTCGAAGAGACTGGTTGCTGTTGTTGTCAAAACATGTTTTCATTCACCCGGCTAATGACCTTTTCGATATTTACGGGAATACTGCAACAGCAAACCTTGGGCTTTTGTTTCAAAACATATCAAAATACATTGTTTTAATTGGTGCGAATCCATGCAACAAAATACTAAGCAGGGATTCGAAGTACTTGAAGAATAAGGTGAGACATGTATAGATACTTAGTCTTGAAACTAGAAAATTATATTTTAATTAATTAATAACAGACATAAACTTTCGCAATAAAGAGTGTTAAAGACCTGACAAAATTGGCGACTTGACTTGTATTTTTGATGTGATTATTACGGTTTGTTCTTGTGCGGTTTGCCCATTTAAAAATGCAATTAAAGCATCCGAGTATTTTTGCCAAAGTCAGTGCCAAGGTTAACGAATTTCGTTTAAACCCACGCTGACCAGGTAAGACGATGGGCGAATTTATGGCATCCGTGCTAACATCAAGGTGATCAGGGGACCACAATGTTTTTCAAATCAATGGAGTAAAAAAATGCAACTTTAAACACGTTAAAACATTCCCAAGTATCGAACTCATTAGAAGCGAAGCGATAGATTAATTTCCTTCACTCCACAACTAAATCGCTTTAAATTTCAGTCTAAACAGGCTCAATTCCGTTAAAGACAAATTATGAAATTATGCTACTTTAACTACCTGGATATTTCAAAGCCTTTAAGATAAAATATCGTAGATACCACTTTAATGGGCTGGCACTTAAATACCTGTGACTAAATCGGTTGGTATTTCAGACTTCTTTCTTCGACAGCCATTGCAGCTGCCAGTCCAGAACACAAAAAAACCGTTTAGTGTTACAGTCAGCGTTACACTCAATGATATATGGTAACTAATCGCCTGTTGTTCTTATAACAAAGTAAAGTCGCTTAACTGATTTTACGCCACTGTATTACCATGCAATTTGTTTGACTTGAAATTATTAAATTACTGTAAACTGGAGTAATTTTCATATTATGATTACAAATTGAACGCCAGACGATCATTTTTTGGCTTTTGAGAAACTTTTTGAACTTTTACAGAATCAACTTTATCAACTCTTTGAAATTGCGCCTTTTGACTACATTTTCGCTAAAACTGTAACGCAGGCACGCTGTGCCCTTAAAATAATAGCCAATAAATTAAGCTACAAATTGTAAAAAATATATTAAAATCGGTTAAGTAGTATAAAAGAACTCAAAATTTTAGGAAAAAATTAGGTGATGGGCTTATTGGAAACTAAGTGACGTTGAGTCGAAAAAAACGCACATACAAATCAAAATAAGCATATAAATTGATAATTAATCAACAATAAATTTATCTGATACTTAAAAAAACATTGTTTTTATTTGCATTTTCTTAAGTTGTCCTGATTCATGCTTCAATTTATCTAGCAACGAACCAAAAGAGTTCATGTCTTGACTATTTCTCATGGTTCACCGCTCCCGGTTGCATTAATCCGACACTAAATAAAATGAGGAGCAACAAAGGTGTTCCCATGAAATCACTAGACCATTTGCGAAGAAAACAGGCATGTGTGAAGGCCAAAATCAGTTGTTTCCCTGCTAATTAAGCCTGACAATGCTCCAAAAAGAGTGAAAACTTCAATAGTTCATTGCTGCTGGAAACACCAGCGCATTGGAATCGTAAGAAGTATTTGATGTTCATGACTTCGGCGACAATATTTTACGGGAAAGCTGTGAGAAACAAACAAATATTTCCGTCGGTAACTTGAAGAACTGGCCATTTTTCCTCGCGCCTACAGCACTCAATTTTTCAACAACGTTCCCTCGTTTCTTTCGAAAATAAATCTTGCATGGAAACGTTCCATCACCAGACAGTGAAAACGAGATAGAAGCATCAAGGCTGGCAAACAAAAATCATAATTCTACTTGTATGAATCATGACAAAGCGACCTAGCTGATTGAAACTGGTTAAATGCAATTAAAATTAGTATCGCCCCAGAATCCGAAGCAGTAAAACCTGCGATTTTGAGCAATTCAGAGCCCAACCGGCTCTCACTTAGAGCGATTAAGGGCTTGAGCCAATAACCCGCAGACAAACTCCGCATTAAGTCGCGTCAATTTCAGGCAATTAAGCTGAACTACATAAATTTAACTGACTCCCTTTCAGACGGCACTCCCTCAATGTTTATCAACACAGACGTTCATGTACTCGCTTCTACCGGAAGGCGAGACTCATTTGTCCTGGAAAGAGTTCTGTGGGAACACGACAGGCCGATATTAATAGTTTCCTGAAAATTTCCGCAACTCGCAACCCCAAATGCGTATGTAACCACGCAGTTTGAACTTGAAGAAATCGATTAGATTCGTCTCAAGGTTGTCAACTAATTGGTCCATTGCCCGCTGACCAAATGGTTGGACATATTTCGGTAACAACCCGACATTATCATCACGCACCAGTTTACGTTAGCGTTTCCCTTATTATTCATTCAAGCTAAAAATAACGAGCAAATCGGTGTGCCGCTAACTCAGCTCCTACCTAGTAATTCACTGCAAGTTGTTCATAAAAATAGAAATTAGTTCTTAAGATGAAACAGATTTCCGGGGTTTTTATGGCCACTCGAAACCGGTTCTTATGGGGGATTAATGGAAGAAGTCCACTGATTACTAAACGCAAACGATTGAAGCCGATATAAATTGCCCCATTTGGGATGCGATTAGATTGTAATTTGTGAAAAATTAACAAAACTATTCTACTACTGACTATCGATTTCACATTCATTTTTCCAAGTGTTTTCGGAGTGAGTGTACTAAAAGATTTAAGAAAAATCGTTTCGTCGAAAAAGTTGAATTCTCTGCACAATTTGCAAACTTTTTCATCTGAGAAAATGACAGCAATGAAGCAAAACACACTTGAAATTAACACAGATTCAAACAAAACTTAGAAAGAGTCGTAAACTTAAAAACACATGTAGGCACTTGTATCTATGAAACCTAGCATTTTGTATACTTTTTGCCTTATTGCTCTCCGCCAGTTAAACAATTCGTAGTTTTTTTGCAATGTTTATGGAATTATAATTTGGCAACCTAACGTGGAGCCACCCTGTAGAAGCAGGCAATTGTAGAAATTCAATTTGAAACAACAACACATCAGTGCGCAAATTAGATCATCATCGGAGAGCTTTCGGTGATTTATTTTAAAGTATTTGTCCTCGTCTTCCATTTGCTCCATTTCGAACTTTAGCATTGAGTGATTAACGCTATGCTAATGTCTTCGGAAAATTTTTCTAAATTAATAATTCATTGTTTGTTTGATTTCTTTCGCATTTTAGCATCAACTTTCTCTTCAAAACTCTGATTGCCGCTTCCTCATCCATCTGCTATCGGCAAACATTTGCATAAACATTCACGTTATTGATTTCCCTAAGTCTATTAATACGTTATCTACTTAAGGTCATCAATAGCAATTACTCTAATAGCTTGCTGTGATACGAACTGAAACCAAACAGAACAATAAATTATCGTAATGAACATTAAGCATTATCATTGGGGCAAAAATTTTACGAAAATCGTACTACACATAGTTGGTCTCGTCTCGAATAACGGCCGATAACATTGAGTCTTTGTGGCAATAAACTTTGGCATACCAAAGGTTATAAAACCTTAAATTGTATTCAAAATACCGGCAGACAAAAGAAAAATGCGAATGGAAATTTAATGCATAAGTAGGCGTACATAAACCCGTACATTGCGAGTCTCAGAGCGCAGAATTCCTTCTTATAGCTTGACTGAAGAGAGAATACCAACAGGAATGCATTGTTTGAGCTTTGGAAGAATACACATGCACAATCCTGAATAGTTGAAAAGTCGCATGAAATATTTCACTACCTCCTAGCGAGGCTTTTAATTAAACTATTCATCCTCTTTCATGTTTTATGATCGTTTATATTTGCGCGATCCTCTAAATGTATGCAATATCAAAGCTTCACACGTATCAAACAAACATTTAAAATTTAAATATTTCCACCTTGCATTCTTGTCTTCCCCTTCACGAATAATACAGTGAGAGCGTAAAGGGGACAGAGTGAATAAAATCTGTATAGAATGACAAAATAAAACGAAACTGCTTTGATAACCTCAAGCGTTTTTAAAATGCAAACATTTATATTCTTTTGTAAAAAAATATCTTTTAAGTGTTATTATTATTCAGTTTGTTTTTATCAGCACTTTTCACTTCAGTGTGAGCAAATGTAGTTCAACGTGTATCATTGTCGTTGGAAATATTTGCCCATTAAACAAGAAATAATGAGCCTAATCGGATAAATTGGCAGGGAATTTCAATTATGCGCCGCATGCCAGCGAATGTAATTTTAATGAAAGAATGCGCAATTTTGTAAGCGTACTTTAATTATTGCGTTCCCACTGTGCA